TGTTGAACATGGTTGGGCAAACCTTTTCTTTATTTTTTATTTTTTAATGTTGGGCAAACATTTTTCTAATTCGGATTAAAGTAGAAGATGCATATTATAGTGAAGGACAAATAAGATTAAAAATATATATTTCCTGAAGTTGTTTATGCCATCTTTTGAGTAAATTAATTAATGTTGTTTATGTCCAAAGGAGCCCAGGACAGGTCAAATATCGATTCATGCATGGTTATGTGATTGTTTTGATAGTAAAGGTCTGAACAAGCAACAACGTATAAATTAAATATTTTTTTATGTAATTGATTACGGTATGAACTGAGTTGAGATATTTAACAAATATCATGCATATATATATATATATTATATTTATACTCTAATTATATATATAGAAATATATATAAATATATAGATTCTTTATATAGTTATAATACTATTTTGCGACTCAACAACTTGCAAATTTCTATGCACCTAGTAAAGCGTACTTGGAATTTTGATGCAGTTGGATTTTCGATACGTAAATAATTTTGCGTGATAAAGTTATGGTAGCACCAATTTGATATTGGGCCTGTTTGCAGCACCGCCCACGCTCCCCGCCCATGCCCGCTAACACGGGACAATTTTATTCTTTTAATCCTTTGTTTAGGTGGAAGTAATATTGAGTTTAATACCTTCTTCATATGGGGTGCTGGATCAAAGGGATTTGCAAGGAGAGGCTACTTCTAATTTATGTTGTTGTTAATTTGTTTTTTTTTTTGTCCTTTTTGGGCTTAAGCCCTGCTCTCTTACCCAAAAAAAAAAAAGGAAACCCAATCATCTCTCAAGGAAGAATATTTTCACGAAGTCTCCTCTAGTAGTAATCTTGTAATAGCAATTTATTAATTTTTACAATGTATTATTCTGCAAAATAATAAAGATGTCCTCTCTTTTTTTTCCCTGCCAAGATAATGATGATATTCTAATGCATCAGAATTAAGTTATTATTAATTAGCAGTAATTTGAAAATTTGCAGAAAAAGAAAGATTTTTTTTCTCTTTTAGAATAATTTTGAACCTCTCAGAAATTTAACATGTTCTAATTTTAGCTAATTCTCTAGCTTTATATTTTTTTTTTTCAGAAAGTACACATTTTGTCAAAGTCTTAAGAAAACGTAAAGCTATCTTCATTTTCTTTTTTGCAAACTATACGAAACTGAAAAACAACTCTCTAATTTTATTTTATTTTTTTTAATTTCTCTTACCAACCCCATTATTGCGAAGTATCATTGTATTAAATGCTAAAATTAAATTTTGAGAGAGAATAGTTTTTTAAGAACTGAATGAAACAGCAAATTAATACAGATGTAACAAATGACTGGAGATATCGTTGGAAATTTCTAGGTGCTAAATATCCAACAGATTTGTCTAATATGGCTAGAAGCAATTACATAGAGAAAGAAAGTAGATCTTATCAAATTCGATTGAAAGAAGTAAAGTAGGCTGTAATAACATATACGTAACCTAATAAATGAAATAATTCTCAATAAAACATAATAAAAGAATGATATTTGTTATGGTATCTATATATACTACAAATCCTAAACTAATTCAATATCACATCCTTGTATCTTTCTGGTACAAAAATACTTTATAATTTACAGTCTAGCTATGACTACCCATGAATGAATGTGATTTCCTTAATTGGGTGTCTCAACAAATCGAGGCAAAAGAATTTGTTGTTATAAATTTTTCAAGAAACTATTTTCCTTAAACACAATAAAATTTGCATTTTTCGATGTCGGGTGAGAACAAGGAATGATGAAGCGTTGTAACTTTTGGCGGCTTTCTTACAGAAACAGTCAACAAATTGTGGCGCCAAAACTTGCGTGCAACTGCCAATGAAAAGGGCACGAGACAAAAGACACGTGCGGCCGCCGCCAGCTAAGAGCAGCGTCAGAATCGTGTGTGCCGCCGTCAGATGATACTGCCACGTGTCCGTTACAGGAAGGATAACAACAAAATTCGGGAAAGATGTTTATCTTTTGGGAGCCTATTTTGGATTTTTTTTACTACCCGGCTTAATTTTTGAAAAATTCCTCAAAAACCTAAAATATGGAATCAATAAGGGAGACAAGTGAGTTATCCCCCTCCTATTAGATAATGAGTGGACCATCATTAATTATCTCATATTTTGGGTCACTGTAGCAAAGCTCTTAATTTTTTTTAAGATCACGTCCGGCAACTAAGGAGTATAATTTATTAATGATAATCCTCAAAAGCTCATTAATAATCACTGCTCAAAATGTTCTGCACTTTATGTGCATATTGATCAAGGTGTAATTCTGTTAAATAGTATTCATAATATTTTCTATATAGGCGGGTAATTATATAGAGTGATTACCGTATACTCCAAATCTTATGCTATCTTGATAGCATGGAAAAATGTATGTGTAGTTTTATCTATTGAATTTTTATCATAATCTATGTGTGTCCGTTTGAAACATATTTATGTCTTATAGTATAAAAATAATATAAATATTGCCCAATTAACATTATCAAACTATACAAGTAAATCATTTGCTCCAAAATAGATAGATGAATATTTTTAGACATGACAAGACGGCAAGACCTCTTCAAAATGAATCCATAAATACAATCATAATTACAGGGTTTTGTTTTTATTTGGGATGCAATACTTATTAATAATAAGGTGAATCATATAAAGAAACTATTGATGCTCGATATCAAACAACCAATTAATCAAGAAGAGGATTGTTACAGGGTGATGAAGGATGATGGAGGGTCCACTCCCTTCTTTAACTTTATACCTGCTTCTTGAATTAGGATATCAGGATCCGCTGCAAAGACCAGAAGAACAAACTCGTAAGAGGGCGGGGACTAGTTCCTCCGTGATACCTCCGACGGTCAAGTCAGCTGAGGTCCTTGCAAGGAGTATTTTCAGTTTTGATTTCTTAGTTTAATTTTACTAATATATCAAGAAGAAGTAGTAGCCAAGAGAGCCTAGCTTAGCCTCTTTTCGTTCTTACCTCCCTCCCTCCTTTTATCATCGATCGCCCTTGAGGTGTCGACCCCCCGCTTTCATTTGGCACGGGAGAGTCGTTGTGGAGTGAACAGGTTGGCTGCTAAATCATCATCCACTTTATAGATGTCGGATGGCGACTGGAGAGGAAGTCACTTCGGTTCTGGAGAGGATGTCTCCATATTTCCTAGGAAGTAATTGAGAGCGTTGCAAAAGGTATGCTGACAATTCGAATCATCCCTCGCCTTACAAGTGTCGAGTGACGACTGGAGGGGAAGTCACTTTTTTATGGGAGATTGTGTCTCTGTATTTTCTAAAAAGTGATTGAGCTGACAAGTCATAGAGACCTATCTTGCCAAAATATGGATAAGGCTTGTTCAAAGTGGACTGAGATGTTGACATATGCTCTGGAGGAGAGGCTTGAGGCCGGGGTTGAGTCCTCAGCTTAGTCGACAGTAGGGAGTGTCCCTTAAGTCGTTTCTGAGAAATGCCCAGTGAGTGGTCTCTTCGATGATAGGATCGACCGACACCGCCTTTCGCGTCGACTTAGGAGTGTAGGCATGTTCGACTGGTTGGAATGTCGTCTCTTCTTAACTAATAACCGTTTCTTCAGTCGATATGAAGATGTCAACTCGTCTGGGATGTTAGGATCTATCGTGCCGACCAATATCGCCTCTATTGTCAACACCAGAATGTCGGCTTGATGAGTTGGTGGGGCCGAGGTCTTTGTGATTGTGCCTTGGGTTTATCCCTTGATGAGGTACCAGGGTCGTGCAATTTAGTCATGATGGTTGAGTTGCACTGGAGGATTCGACCATGTGCCTTGGGCTTACCTTGATAAAGAGCTAAGAGCTTGTTTATCCGTCTGATAAGTCGTTGTGCCTTGGGTTTATTCCTGATGAGGTACCAAGGTCTTGCACTTTGACTAAGGAGTCGAATGCCTAGAATTTTTGAGAATTGACTAGCGCTCTTATCGTATCATTTTACAAATATCAACCTCTTGGGTGAGTGAACACCATAACAGAAACGAAAAATAAAATCTATTTTACACAACTGCATCAAAAGATTCTATGAACTGTGATATCTCCCAATTAATATTTGATAAAAATTATTAATAAATATGATTGAAGTAGGAGGGATTACCTCCTGGATAGTTTGTAATAAAGTGACATGTTTTATCAATTCTTTTATTACAATTTTGTAGAAATAAATTATTAGAAGCAAATGCCAGCTAATTATTCCATCTCAAGTTTAGTAGGTTTAGTCTCTAAGGCCCCGTTTGGCAAAGGGTTAAAGAAGAGGGGTTAAAAAGAAGGATTAATATACTTAGCTCATTCGATAATCCGAGGACTAAATTATTAACCTGTTAAATAAGTTTTATTTTAGCCATTGTGATCAGTTTTAGTGTTTGGGAATAACAATAATTTTAACTATTTTCTTTATAATTAAAAGGGTTAACTCTTAATCTTTCTAAATAGGAGTATTAGTAAACCCCTTATTAGTATTAGTAAACCCCTTATTTTGAGGGGTTAACTCATTTTAATCCCTCTATATTTTTTATGTTTGGCAAATTATGACGGGTTAAGAAGGAGTTAAGGAGACTTAACCCATCACTTAATCCTTTGCCAAAGGGTACCTAAAGTTTGCCTAAAACAGAAGCGATCTCAACGTAATTAGAAGCTCACATGCAACGCAACTATGGTAAACTTTCAAGCTTGCAGAATAAATTTGATATTTCCATTAAAACAATTACTTTATATGTACGCAGCATTGCACAATGAAAACTTTAGAAAATAGATAGAAATTTATCTCAACGCGGTACAATGTTAGGACCAACCAACGCGAAGGAGAAAAAGTACCCAGGAAACAAAAGGAATAAAGTGATAGTTTGACAGGTGGCTGCACAGGTGTCAGTCAACTATGCAGGCTTAAGATATCTATAAGAGGAGGAGAAAGCAAAGAACTCCGATAGTTCTTGGAGAAAAGAAAATACGAAGGAAGGGAGAGAGAGAGAGGAGAGGCAACGGAGATATAGGAGAGAGAAAGATAGCTAGGGATAGAAGGAGAAATGAAGCTCATTTTCTCTCACCTCCCCTCACTTCTAACATTTCTCTGTTTGCTTCTCTCGGGTAAGGAACTGATGCTTAATTCAAACAAGTTAAATTAGTTTCATTCATCTTAATTTCAAACAGAATTTTATTCTTTCACACTTTTCTTTCACTTTTTCTTTTATTAATTTTCATCTACCATAGAGCAAATTTAAAGTGTTATTATGTATATGTTTGTACAAAGGAACAAAAAACAAAGTGGGAAAGTTATCACATGATTAAAAAGGTCAGATTCTTTTTAGAACAAATGTTGGTGCATGGTTTGGCAGATGTTGAAATCTGCCCCCCCCTGCTTTACCTTGATTCCTCACTATTCTTGGTCTATATTTGTTAATAAATTATTACTTATTCTTCATAGGTGTTTACTCCACAAATTTTTCCATAATTCTTTCATAGTTTATATAGTTGGGCGCCCCTCCATTGCTTATATTCCATACTTTTTCCCCCCTTTTCAGGTACTATAAGGGTAAGAGCTAAACCTCATTTACTAAATGATATATTCTAATATTATAATTAATTGTGTTGATATATTCTCTTAGTAGTTGATTTTCCTCAAAAAAAAAAAAAAAAGAATTAATGATGTTGATGATTGCTCACTTTTTATATTATGAAAAAGTAAGAGCTATTATATTATACGAAAAAGTAAGAGCTAGAATGCTACCTCTATTACATAATTCTGTTAAATATGTTGTTCTACCTCTAATAGAATCAACTTTTATTAAAAATATTTACAGTTGATACATTCTAAGATTGTAATTAGCTAGTGATGATTATTGCTACTAAATTCAATAATGAATATGAACCTTTACGAAAATCCCAAAAAATAAAGAACTACAGCACGCTATCTCTGATACATGAGATTGTTCTACATCTAATAGTCAATTCTTTGATCAATATAACAAGTTTTTTTACCTCTGACAGCTCAAGCTCCTCTCCCATCTCTCGCCGTCACGTTCGGAATAAACTACGGCCAAATCGCCAACAACCTCCCAACCCCAATCCAAGTCTCCAGCCTCCTCCAATCGATCAGCATCAACAAAGTCAAGCTCTACGACGCCGACCCAAAAGTCCTCACCGCCTTCAATAACTCCGACGTCGAATTCATAATCAGTGTCAGCAACGACAACATCATCAATATGCGAGATCCAACCCAAGCCCAATCCTGGCTCAAACAAAATGTTCAGCCTTACCTCCCTCAAACAAAAATCACCTGCATAACCGTTGGCAACGAGGTTTTCTCAAGCAACGACACAAATCTCATGGCCAACCTTTTACCAGCAATGCAATCTCTCTACGAAGCACTTCAAACTCTAGGATTAGATGGTCAAGTCAATATCAGCAGTGCACATTCTTTAGCTATCTTGGGGGACTCATTCCCGCCATCAGCTGGTTCGTTTCGTCAGGATCTTGTGCAGTATATTCAGCCGTTGCTCAATTTTCATTCGGAGAGTAATTCGCCATTCCTTATAAATGCTTACCCTTACTTCGCTTATAAAGGAAGCCCAAATACTGTTTCGTTAGAGTACGTACTGTTTGAGCCTAATCCTGGAGTAACTGATCCAAACACAAATTTGAACTATGATAACATGTTATATGCTCAGATTGATTCAGTTTATGCTGCAATTAAAGCGCTGGGGCATAATGATATTTTGGTGAGGATATCGGAGACTGGGTGGCCTTCTAAAGGAGATACTGATGAGCCTGGAGCGACGCCACAAAACGCTGCAATGTATATAGGGAATTTGTTGAAGAGGATTTCGATGAATCAGGGGACGCCGTTGAATCCTACAGTGCCTATCGATGTTTATGTGTTTGCTCTGTTTAATGAAGATATGAAGCCAGGGCCGACTTCTGAGAGGAATTACGGGTTGTTTTATCCTGATGGGACTCCAGTTTATAGTGTCGGGCTGCAGGAGTTGTCCCCGTACTCGTCCGCGCCGGGGTCTTTCAAGCAGAAGGTGAGAAGAGAAAGAACATTTCTATTTACATTTAAGTTTGACCAATTTTTTAGATAAACCCCTAACCTTTAAAAATGACATTATTAACCCCTCCTTTAGTTTGGGGTGTCTAAGAAAAACCCTCCTCCTGAAATTTTTCAACTAACCCCCTAACGGTAATGAATTGGTAAAAAAGACCGAAATATCCTTTTCAAATTAACACTAATCATTTAAGTAAATTAAATTCATCCGGAGCTAGGGTCAGAGGGACTAATCTCAAAATTTGATTGACCGTTCCACTCGTGCCTATGCCTCCGCTCCCTTCGTCTCTGCCTATGCTACCTATGCTATTCCTTCCATTCCCAGATTATTAAGGACATGAAGTGAGTTTTCAATTAAAGACATTTTGGTCATTTGACGCATGTGATTTTCACGTGCGTAGTCGGATATAACGGGGATATAACGGGCACACCTTGTTGTGTGCGGAAGGGGTGTTTTTTTTTTTTTTTTTGGTGGGGGTGGGGGGTATATTTTTATTTATATTTAAGCCAATCTCAAAAAGAAAATGTTGGGGAAAAACTAAAATCAAATTCTGAAGTTCTTAAGTTCATACTTGTTTTCATGCATATGGTTGGAATTTTCAACCTCTAGACACCTCAAGATGGTAGGCGGAGGATTTCTTCGTAACTACTGAAATTTTCTTATTTGTCAACTTCACACCAATAAAATATCTGAGATATGGTCAATAATTATTTGATGTGAAAGCAGGTAATCTTTTTCCCTTTTTCTTCATTTCGCTTTCGCATATGATATGGCATCTACTCGATTTCTCTACTGTTTTCAAACCTCAGACTAAAAAAGAATTGCCGCCCAAGGATGATCCTATAGAGGATCAGAGTTGGTATGTCTCACTTCCATTCATGTATCTATCACCAGCTCAATTTGTTGACGCCAAGTTTTGGATGCGGAAAAGAAAAGAAAAGAAAATTACTAATAGTAACAACGTACGATAAGACAGAGAGAGAGTGACATTAACCTTATCTTTTTGCATATTCTTGCAGACGATGACTGTTCTAGGACTTTTGATCCTAGCTGTGGCACTCCTAGTCTAAGCTTGTCATAGTGGAGTTTGATTACAGCTAATTTTGTTGAGAAATTTGAGCCTACGGTCAAGGATATATTCAAAACTTAAGGTATTTTCTACAGTTAGTTCTGTTTCCTTAACTTAAGGTATTTTCTACAGTTAGTTCTGTTTCCTTTACTCAGTACTTTCGTGTTTTCTTGCACTTCTGTCACAATCACAATATGCGTCTTCATCAAGAAGACAAAGACTATGAGTAAAAGATATTCCTATTTGCATTTTGAAATGATCTCTGCTTTTTTAGCTTTTGTCACTTTCTTTCTTTCCCCTTAAAAAACATATATCGACAAAGACTGAGTAGAAGATGTTCCTATTTGCATTCTTAAATGATCTCTGTTTTTTAGCTTTTGTCACTTTCTTTCTTTCCCCTTAAAAAAATATATCTATATGATGTTAACACATCGATATCACTGTTTATTTTATTTCCCTTAGTGGCAGTCACTTTCATCTAATGCTGGTAAATCTACAGATATAAAAAGAGTTGATGACTCCTATAGTCCTATTAGGCTGATGGCCGGTCCAGGGAAAAGAAATATGAAGCATGCAGAACTTAAAATTGGAATTAAATTATGGGTATTGCTTTTTGGCTCGCGTTTTAACACGCGAGCCAACTCACACAGAAACAAGGGATGGGACCCACTGTGCCTGTCTCTTTGCGAGTTGGCTCGCGCGTTAAAGCACGAGCCAAAAAGCATTTTGTTAAATTATATATAACTTTTGGGATTGTTAGGGTTAGGTTGCAATGTGTTTTTAGAAGAAACTAACAACAGACACGTTGCTAGTCTAGCTGACAGATTAAAACTTTAAGTCTTTCAAACTGTTTAATATGATGTGACTACCGTACATTTTACTTAATTGTTTTAAGAATTTTTAGCTGTAGAAGTAAAACCCGCGTTTGACATTTAGGGACATTTAGAAATATAAAAAATATAATATGATTAATAACAATAAAGTCCCAGATGTCAGTACTTTACCAAGTTTTGCTCCAGAACTTCTGAACGATGTGGATTATTTTGTCATGATCAGATCCAGCCTGCACAAAAGAATAAAAAAGTCCTATAATATGCCTGTTATAGTTGCAAGTTCTAATAGATAATGCAATGTATAATATGCATAGATTAGCAAATAGATTAACTATATGATTACATCCGCAAAAGAACTGCATGCAAAATAAAATGTTGGATCCTGTGGATTACTTGGTCATGAAAAAAAAATCCTAATAATTGGTCTCTGTAGGCATAATAATTAGTATATAATTATAGATTAGCAAGTATATTAACTATATGACAACATCTGCAAAAAAACTGCATGCTGAATAAAGTCCAAGGAAGGCTAGTGAACTATGTACTCATGTTTAATAGATAAAATGTAAATTAAATAGCCTATAGGTGAAGAATTAACTAAACATGAGTCTTCAAATATCCGCAAGAGTTTCAGCTGTCATTGATATTGCTTATAATTTATAACCGAGCTAGGTGCAATAATAAATTATAAATGTGGTTCTATTTCCAGTTATTCATACCACTGCAGTTTAGTTGATTGGTGAAACGAATTACATATGTAGTTCTTAAAACAACTTGTCATTAATTTTTCTCACATACAGCTGCTTATTATGATGTGCAGGGTGCAAATTATGGTAGAGTGGAACTCAAGAGCTTGATTCATTGTATCAATCATGGCTTTTTGTGAGAGGATCACTATTTTTTGTGAGGGCATTAGTAATTTTCGTGAGAATATTATTGATAGAAGAAGAGACCTTGCCAGGAGTAGAATATTTCGTACATGATTTCCCCTTTTCTTTATTTCATATTTCGCTATAGGAATTATTCCATCTTTTTTTACTTGAGTGAACATTTTTTAGTTGTTGTAGATTGGATTGTTAGGCTCCGGGTTTCATGTACAATATGGTATATGTTAGTGATTGTAGATTGAATTATTAATTATTAAATATAATTCATTCCTTTGATGATTTAAGTATATCCTGCTCAATTCCATGTATATTCTCCTGATCCTGATTCATGAGAAACTTTAACTTTCAAAATCTATGATACGTTCACATCTACAGGGAACTAGAAACATCAAATACTAGTATAAAGGAACCTGTAAGTCTCTTCAGCAAACAAGAACTTTAAACCTTCCCAGGAGTTCTCTAAAGCAGATTCCATAACCATGAACATCAGCCTTCATTAAGATGTCATTAGAGTGGAAATCGGTAAATATACAGAAAGTGCAGGAATATAGCCAGTCAAAAGGAAAGAACCAAACATTAAGCAAAATAATAGGTTAAAGAAAATATAGGAAGCTAGTACCTGCTTGTGATGGGGAAGTATCTTTGCAGTGGAACACACAATAAATTACATTTAGTCATACACCAGTTTCTGCCAAAAAGGGTGAGACCTATTAACCTTATCAATAACAAAAAGAAAAAAAAACAATTACTGGAAATAAATGATGGATAAACTAAATTTTCATGCGTTAGATGTCAGTTTCATTCTTACACAGTAAATAAAATTTCCCCTGTTTCAGCTGTGGGAAACCTCAGAGCTTTCAACTCCCTTTCTGTTTTATGGTCTTTTCTGAAAGCTAGGCTTCATTGAGCCTGAAAATAAATTGAAAGACAGAATTGAATCATGAGCTAAACATGCATATATCATGTCTATGCATACTTGGAACTACCGTTGATAGTAATTCTCACACATTTAGATGTTTAGTTTTTCAGGTTCGCTGCAATGTATCAACTTAGTTCTCATCCACTCCCAGTCTCAACTTCTTCAGTCTCTACTATTATTAATTAGTCTCAACGGAGTAACCATTAGTGCGTTTAGCAGATGCCGTATTGACTACAAATATCAATTTAGAAAAGAACTGATGTACCAAAAGTTTTTTCTATCTAGCAGTAAGAGCCAACCGAAACCAACTATAAATTGTTTATCAATTACTTCAAAAACTTTATAGGAGATAACATCAATTTCTCACTTGGAGATGCACTGGATTCAACGTAACAGCCACAATAAACATTATCTAGATGGAAACATCTTTCTTACTAATAACAGACAAAGCATATTTAATCTGGCGACAAAAAATTTAACCATCATAACTGATTCAAGGCACTATTTACTCTTAGGCGTGATTTGATACATTTTCTCATCCAAAAAAGTAGCAAATCAAGAGAGGTGATGCACCGTTAAACCCTAGAAGCGACAATTTAAGTAGTAATTAAGAATTCAATAAGAAATTTTCAAGATATCATCTTTATTATTGAACAAGCAAGGTAACACAAAGTAACAATAACAACCACAGCGCTGTAAAGTCCCGAAAAAGACAAAACGACTAGTTCTCTAACTGTTTTAGTTGTGAGAAGAGATTCTATCGTATGGTAAGAATCTATTTGCAATCGCTCTTTTTCAAGTACAGAAGAGAAGGTTGATTTGACTTCTTCTTTGTTTAACACGGGTTCGGTGTGGCGATGAGATGTCTCGCTCGATACTCGTGTCGAGCTTACTTCTCGTTGACGATCAAAGCAAGATAGCTTCAATTCAATGAGAAATTTAGCCTCTGTCGAGTGCTTGAGCTGCCGTTGGTGGCTGATGTTAGCTCTTGACGTGCGTACGTCTAAGTGCTCTCTAAGTCTGAGTGCTAGCTCAGTTGGCTTCTTCATAGCTGTTCACGGCTATTTATAGGCTTTTAGCACGTAACTGAAGCGCTAATCATGGGATCATGAACGTAACTGACTCCTTAGCCCACGTGGGCTGACTATGTCTTCATGGCCTTTAGCCTCCTGACGTCGAGCCTCACTTGATAAGACGAGCCTCGCTGCATGGCGAGGTTCGTCTAATGAAATGAGCCTCAATACGCAGCGAGGTTCGTCTGACAAGGCGACCTTCGTCTTTTGATGGTCGAGTCCAGTTGCGTGGCGAGCCTCGTGAGCTTCTTCTGACGAACTTCGTCTTCTGAAAAAGCTTTGTCTTCACTGACGAGCTTCATTTTCTGAAGGAGCTTCGTCTCTTGAAGGATAAGGCGTTGAGAGCCTCATCTCTAGGCGAACTTTGTCTTCCATGACGAACTTCGTTTCTGGGCGAACTTTGTCTCAAATGACGAAGTTCGTCTTCTGAGGGGTGAGGCATTGCTTGACGAGGTTCGTCTGTGGATGAACTTCGCCTACTGAATTGGCTTCATCTCCTAGAGGAATTTTGTCCCCAGTGACAACCTTCGAACCTCGTCTCTAATGATGAGCTTTGTCACTATCTTATTTCTTGGTATTTTTTAGTGCCTACGAGACCCTTCAAAGTTTTCAGACCCAAATTAGGTTGCATGGGTCTAGAATAGTTTGAACCAGTGTTATCGAGGCGCAAGGCGCAATGCGGGGCGCAAAGGTCCCTTACGCGCACCATGCGCAAGGCGCACAACAAGACGCGCGCCTCACTAACTGAGGCGCATAACTCAAATTAATATTTGCCAACATCATAAGACAGAAACATATGCGAGCGAGGCGCACGCGAGGCGCGAGCGAGGCGCACGCGAGGCGCGAGCGAGGCGCACGCGAGGCGCGAGCGAGGCGCACGCGAGGCGCGAGCGAGGCGCACGCGAGGCGCGAGCGAGGCGCACGCGAGGCGCGAGCGAGGCGCACGCGAGGCGCGAGCGAGGCGCACGCGAGGCGCGAGCGAGGCGCACGCGAGGCGCGAGCGAGGCGCACGCGAGGCGCGAGCGAGGCGCACGCGAGGCGCGAGCGAGGCGCACGCGAGGCGCGAGCGAGGCGCACGCGAGGCGCGAGCGAGGCGCACGCGAGGCGCGAGCGAGGCGCACGCGAGGCGCGAGCGAGGCGCACGCGAGGCGCGAGCGAGGCGCACGCGAGGCGCGAGCGAGGCGCACGCGAGGCGCGCGCCTCGCTGCGTGCAGCGCCCCGCCTCGCGTGCGGGGCGCATTTCGCCCAGGCCGAAGCGCCTCGCGCCCGGGGCGCGCCCGAGGCGCGCGCCTCAATAACACTGGTTTGAACTCTCTTGGCTATAACGAGCTTGGTTTGCATGACGAGCTTGGCCTCTTGGCGAGCTTCGATGCTCTGGGGTGAACTTCGTGGTTCCAGGCGAAGTTTGTCGTTTCTGGGCAAGCCTCGACACTTTGAGACGAAGTTCGGCTATTTGTTGAGTCTCGTCATTTTGTGCGAGCTTCGTCAGACCCACGTGGGACTAACAATCAGGTCCTATCAGCATTAAATGTTGTACATCTTCATCATTGCGTTTTTTCAGGCCCGATGAACAACCGCCAGCTAGAGCCTCAAGATCTGCGGAGCGGATCTCGACCGCTGATTTGGTTTTCCCGCCTATAAATAGGCGGCCACCTCTGATGAAGTTGATTAGTCTTCTTCATGTTTTCAAAACCTAAATTGCTTCGACTTCACAGAGCTTTCGCCTCCGAGTTTTAATCTCTTCCCCTCAAAAACTTCGAATTTTTGTTAAGATTCATGGCCCCAAAAACTGTCGTCGACAAAGGCAAGGGCAAGAAAACGGCGAGTTCTTCAAGCGAGGCCGCCACTTTACCTATCATCTCAGGTAGTGCAATCGAATGCAAAATTTACATTTAGAACAGTTGAATTTTGCCCACTTCGGCTTGTTTTTTCTAAGGAGATGAACAATTTCCTCTTTTGAGACGAGGTTCGTCTGTCGAACGAAGTTCGTCTTGTTGACGAGGCTCGTCTGATGGACAAGGCTTGTCTGATGGACGAAGCTCGTGCCATTTCTTGGGCGAGGCTCGTCTTTTAGCTAAGGTTTACCATATCTAGCTTATTTGGGCTAACTTTACTGTTTTGCCTCTTGCAGTTCTGCATTCATCTGCTCGGATTTCTTCACGTGACGACATCGGATCAGATACCACTCAAATTAGAACGAACCAGTCCCGCTACCCCGTGCTTGAGAATCCCCATCATTCAGAACCAAAGTCAGGAGGTGTTTCATCAGCTTGTTGAGCCTTCAAGTGCTACTTTGAGGCGTTCGGTCACAGACGCATCCTTGAAGACAGCTGACCGAAACAGAATTCCAAAGCTTGTCTTCTTGTTTGGCGATTCTACACCCAACCCCGATATGCTGGACCTTGGGACATATCGATGGCTTAGGACGGTGGGCGAGAGACGCTTCTTCACACCTCCTATGCAGCGTGACTACTCTCTCACCTTCCTCAAAGCGACTTTAGTCTCCCAGAAGATTGACTGGGAGTTGACCCTGACACAGGATGGGGTCACCTATGGATATTTCTTTAAGGGCGGTGCTAGAGTGGACATTGGCGGCCGTCATGTTACCGGTCTACTTCCCGGGCTGGTTCAACGTGAACTACCCGCTAGTGAGATGACTGCGGAGGCAAACACTTTGTGCAGCTCTTTCTTCAAGGCTGAAGGGTAATTTTCAGCCAAAGACTTCAGAACTCCGGGCTGGTCACGTTGGAGTGTTGGACAGTGGTGGTCCCGGATGACTGAATTCATCTTGCAAGAGAACTATGACGACCTACGAGAATACAGCCTTCTCACGCCCATCAAGGCCACTCAGTTTGGGCTAAAGAACAACGCCCAACAATTCTTCAGCGTGTTGGAGCTATACAACTCTGACACGCGTATATTTTTCACCCCCGATGGGGAGCTGGGGATAGCACTACACGAGATGGTGGAAGTTTCAGGGTTACTACTGGAAGGATACCCTTATGAAGAAAACATCCCAGGGCATAGAGAGTTGATGGAACTGGAGAGGAGCCACCCTTAAGTTATTAAGACATTTGGGAGCTCATGTGCCATTATCACATTTGTTTGAGCCCTGAGGGACGTACAGAGGAGAAAGGCCTATCCCTTAAGGTCCCGGTCGCACTGCTAAACCCCTGCGACGAGATCGAGTCGGCGCGACATATCTTTGCTCATCTCCCCACTTCCTACGTGACCGCTTCAGATGAATGTGGTTACACAGCCGGCGTGGAGTTCGAGAGCTATTTCCACCAAACTAAAGAATCGATCTCTCACAAGGTGCTATTGGCGGGGTTCCTTATGCTTTGGCTGAAGCATATAGTCCGTACGCCCTCTTCCAGGCCATGACGGCTTGCATTCACGGAGGATTGCGGTGGTTGTGTGCCTAATTTTGTCAAGGCGTCGAGAGTCCTCGAGTAGACGCCTATCTGATTGCATCGTTTGTGATGCAGTGTCACACCCTTATGACTGTGCCCTCTGCTCGAGATGAAAATCAAGCTAATCCTTTCATCCAGCGATTGGAGAACTCTTCTTAGACAAAGGGGTATATGGCGACAATGAGGAATGCCCTAAGAGATCACAACAACTTTGACTTCTTCAGGTGCTTTCCTAACGTTCTTGGAACTAGCTACGGCCAAACATTTACGAACGAGTCGAATGGCCAGGGCTACACTTCACTATCTGTTGGCTACTTCAGGTGGCTCGTGAATATACGTCCTAGGTACATGATCTATCGTCATGGTCCGACGTGTCTATTAGAGTCGTATCTGCCTTACCGATTTGCTTGTCAATTCGGTTATGACCAGTTGTACGTCGGTAACACCAACACTCACTTGTAGTCTGAGGGTAGTCTAATCGATAGAGCGAGAGGGTAGTTTTGG